TTCAGATAGTTGATGAGGGACCGAATTATGAGCAATCGACATAATTTTAGCCGACTATTTCCCCTATGTTAAGAGCTATCTGCATTCAGTAGAAGAGACATTCTAAATAATTTGTTTGCCTTGGCTGCATATTCTTCGCATTGTTTCTTCTTTCACTCATTTTTGAATAGTTACACGTCCGACACGTGAGATATCTGCTCGGTATGCACTCGTGCGTGTCATGGTCAGATAAGCATCGGTATAAACAAGGAAACAAGCGCTGAAGATTCAGCAAAGATGCTTTCACTTATTTAATGATGCTACAGGATGAGTGTGACTTTTTTGTGAAATAGTTAAAAAAATCACGAGTGTGATTTCAAAAGATTAGAAAAAAGCAGACGATTGTTAAAAGAGTTTGATTTCAAAATAGTTATTAAAAAAAAACGATTTTTAAAATGAAATTCAAACAAAATTTTATTTTGTAAATGAAGGAAGATAATTTAAAAGATAAAAAACAAAAAAACAGATAGCTAAAAAGAATTCAAACGAGTTAAAATGAAGCAGACGATTTTTAAAATGAAGTAGACGATTTTTAAAACGAAATGAAAACGTAGTTATATTTTTTAAATGAAGATGCAAAATTTATAAAATTTCAAACAATTAAAAAAGCAGACGATTGTTAAAACAATTTGACTTCAAAATAATTGAAATGAAAAAGATGATTTTTAAAATAAAATGCAAGGAAGTTAAATTTTTTTAATGAAGATGTAAGAAATATGCAATTTTTAAACATTTATAAAGCATACGACTGCTAACAGACTTTGATTGCAAAATAATAAAGTAAAAGCATTTTCAAAGGTAGAAATGAATGGTGGGAAATTAAAAAAACTAACATATAAAATAGATTGTTTGGGATTTGCACATGATATTTAAAATAGAAACTCAGCTTATTTCCCGATAAATGGCATTTGCATTGATCAATATTTAAGAAAATAAACGCTTTTTCTTTCTTTTTTAATGCAATTTTATGTAGTTAAAAGCAAACATAATAACGCATTGCAGTACGTTTTAATTTTGCTCGAAAAGAATCAATAGATATAATTAACTGTTTTAGCAATAACTTTTCTAGAATACACAGTTCTAAATATTTAAGAAAAAAAAATTTGCACCCATGTTGATTAAAACAATAAGACGCATTAATGACAAAAGTGGATAATTATTTTCAAGATTAATTAAGCAAACTAAATGAAAACGATTTCTTAAAAAAAATAGATAAAATAATACAGCTTAATTTTCTCATATCTTTATCAAACTCAACAAAAAAAAGTCTTCCTGATTCAACAATATTTTTCGAGCAAGAAACATACACAAACATATCATTTAGTTCTTGAAGGCAAATATCCAATTATTTGTTTTCCATTACCAAACAAACACATTGCCGAATTCTATTTTGTTGCTACCCAAAAGTTTTTGATCGGAAACTTAGAATAGGCTGAGACCCCACCCACCTTATCATTTCCCCCCTTTCTTAATACGTACTCCGTAGAGAACATTGCCTCATGATATACCTCTACTCTTCAATCAAAAGACGTTTTTGTGAGGGGGGCAGAGAACAAAATGGGAGGGGGAAAACAGATGGCGAAGGCACCCACACGACACAGCGGACTTTGTCTTCTTTTTTCTATATCGGTCCACTCCAACAGTAAAGAAGGGGGGGGGGGTTGTCATTGAGATGATTCATTCATCCTGGATAGTCTCAAAATTTGTCTGGAAGATGTTTGGGGTAGAAAGGGGTTTAAGAATTGCGCAAGGACGACCCCAACAGAGTTCATGAAGAAGAAAAAAGAAATATTCTTAAAAAACAACAGACGATATTTCTCTTTCTTTCACTCGTGAGGGGAACGTGATGAAAAAAGAAAAATATAAGTATTATGTGTCTGTAAAGATGGAACAAGGGAGTGGAAACAGCCTCACTTTGTACGTAATAAAATAAGTAATATATGTATTTAGAGGTACCAAATAAAGTAATAAAAAAATTTAGAGGTACCAAACATAAAAATAAGTGCCAGAAATCCATAACAATAACATATATAACTATAGATCAATTAATTATTCAACAATAAAAGTACAACAAATAGAAGGGAAAAAGCATCTGAATCAAGCTTTTAATAGTTTGATTATCTATTAGATTTGCGTAAATGGAAAGTTTGCATTAAACATATGTCGATGTATCAGTTTTTATCACGTCTTGAATGTTGGTTATTATATTAATTTTCATGTTCAAATGCAGATTAATATGACGTGAAATACTCAGGCATTTAATTATATATCGATTGAAGTCACTAAATTGTTAATGTCGATGTTAATAGAATGAATGAATTTAATTCAATAACATTGGAAATATCAACTTATTAATCAGTTAAATAAGTTTCAATTCATTAACAGTGGGAATATAACAATGTAATAAACAGTGTAATAAATTCATTAATATTGAGAATACCAACTTTTTGATCAATTTAATAAAATTTGATTCAATAGCAGCGGGAACATCAACTTATTAACAGTTTGTTATGAGTTTCGATTCATTAACATTGAAAACATCAACTAATTTTCAATTTGTAATGAGTTTTCAGTCAATAACATTTGGTATATTAACTTATTATTAGTTTAATAAATTTCGATTTATAAACATCGCGGGTATCAACTTATTATCAGTTAATAACGAATTTTGATTAAATAACCTTGTGAATATTAACTGATTATAACTAAAATGAATTTCGATTCATAAACATCGCGGCTATCAACTTATTATCAGTTTATAATGGATTTTATTTCAATAACCTTGTGAGTATTAATTGATTATAACCAAAAAGAATTTCAATTCATAAACATGGCGGGTATCAACTTATTATCAGATTATAATGAGTTTAGATTCAATAACCTTGCGAATATTAACTGATTATAACTAAAATGAATTTCGATTCATAAACATCGCAGGTATCAACTTATTATCAGTTTAAAATGAATTTTGATTCAATTACCATGTGAATATCAACTGATTATAACTAAAATAAATTTCGATTCCTTAATAAAGACACGCTGAATCAAAAAGAAAATCGATAACGTATCGATATAATCTCGTATCACCCGAAAATTAAGTCTACGTACTTTTCATCAACCTGCCCTGATTAAGACAGAGCTGAGATGCTTAAGAAAGGAAGAAACAGTCAGAATTTATAGCTCAATTCATTTTACTTGACAGGTTTAAGCTTATGTTTATTTATAATGACTGCTGTCGGTGACATTCGATAAGATGAGGCTTCTGAATAAGGAAGAAAGATATGTTAATACTTTTTTATATGTTGAACAGAAACGAAAATGTTATTTGAAGACAGATAGGATTTAGAAAAATACGATTTAATTATTACTCGATTCCCCAAACAAACTGAGACGTTTGTTTTGATCATGTCTTGGGTGTCGGCTACCAGATTTGATTTTTATGTTAGATTGCAGGTTAATATAGTGTGAAATACTCATTCGTTTAATGTATTTTCTGAATTGATATTTGTTAATGTAAAATGAGATTCGATACATTAACGTTGGCAATGTCAACTCTAGTTAAATATATAATATAAAATGAGTAATTCGAAATTAAATATAGAATGAGTTCCCATTCATTACAATGGGGGAGTATAAAATTATGAATAAAATGAGTTTCGATTCATTAATATTGGCAACAAAAAAAAGAACAGAAAAAAAGAAAAAGACAGACATATACCACAAAAAAAACTTTAAAAAATAAATACATAAATAAAAGATGTTCCAACAACTTGCAAGTGTTTTTTCGAATGTATAAAATAACTAACGTGTTATGATTTGAACTATTTTTGCATAACTTCTTTCATCATTGTTACAACTATTTATTATTTTTAATAATGTCTCTTAATACTACTTCTGCTTTAACGATACAGATGTGAGACAATTTAATGTCTCAAAAAAAAAAAAAATAAATAAAAAAGAGAGAGAGAGAGAGAGAAATTCGCAAACACTAATAATTAATTTAATTTAAAGCCATTTATAATTTTTATGCAGTTTTTTTTTTTTTTTTTTTTTTTTTTTTTTTTNTTTTTTTTTTCAAATTTAAAGATGAAAATAAATATTTGACTATTGTAGAATAAATATTTGACTATTGCACATATCCATACAATTACGACCGTTTAGGTATTACGTATATTAGTTACTTACTTACATACATTAATTATTTACATGTTTACATTGGTTATTCACATACGTAAAAATTCACAACAGGCAGAATTGCTATTGTTTTATAAAAACAAAAGCATTACTTAAACTACAAATTTTAAATTTTTGTAAACAAATTAAGTAAAAAAAATTTCAATCTGATGAAAGCATACTTAACAAACATAAACAAAATCATATCTTAAAAACACTTTAATGGTACAGACTGTTAGATATTGAAATTATTTTATAAGAACAAAACTTCCTGGTTTGGAACCATATTATTTTAAATAAATCCTTAAAATTTTTATAAATAAATTACTTGAAAAAAATCACAATATGATAAAATATACTAAAAAAAACTTATCTTAAAAATGGTCCAAACTGTTAGATATTGAAAGTATTTTAAGAGAACAAACCTTCCTGGTTTGTAAACACATTATTTAAAACGAAAGTCTTAAATTTTTACAACTAAATTAGTTAAGAAAAACAACATAATATTATAAACACATACTAAGAAAACATATCTTAAAAAACACTTTAACGCTCTAGACTGTTAGATATAAAAATTATTTTATAAGAACAAAACTACCTGATTTCGAATCACATTATTTAAAACGAAAGCTTTAAGTTTTTGTTTGTAAATTTATTAAAGAAAGCTCAATATGATAAAAGTTGATTAAACAAAAGAAATAAATAAAATCTTTACCAAAAAAAAAAGTTTATTTTTTACAAAAACTAATATATTAATCATTCACAAGGGTAAAAATAAAGAACTTTACCTTCCCGACACACGCACATGCTCGGGGAACAAGGACACCCCTCTTCTTTCAGAAAAGGTTTATGAATTATACAGCACACATGCGGAGTTGCACACTGAGTAAGTGATATTATTTACGAACGGTAAAAGACAGGGGAGTTAGTGCAGCATCAACATAAAAATAGTTCATCCGGAATGAACGAGATCGCATTTATTTTCTCAGAAAGGACAAGATATGGGAGGGCTTCATATCTATTCCTTCAACTCTTCCTGTTTGGTTTGGTAGTTCGATTCTGGGCTGCACCATCCTCTCCCTCCCCCGGAACTTACTGGGAAATGGATGATTTCTAAGAGCTTAAGAGAATTCACCACTTTTCAACATCCTTTTGGGAGCGATTACGGTTCCTGCCCACTCATTTCCTTCTTTGTGTCGAGAGAAATTTTTTTTTATCTCTAATTTTTGTTTTTCATTCTACGTCAACCCCTTCGAATGTATGAGGTGCCCCCAACAACGAATCCATTTTTTTTAATCAAGTCGTTAAGTTTACATGTGGCTATTTTTTCATAACGGCAAACGACAAAAAGAAGTTGTAAAATAAGAACTAAAAGCTTTAGCGTTTTATCGTCTGCTTTGCTGATAACGTTCTATCATTAAGAAAATTTAGAAAAAAATTAAACTATTTATTGAATGCATCAGTTATGAAATTATTTTAGGAATTAAGAGGCAATGTGACAGTAATAGTTTTAAAAAAAACGTGTTTTTAGTTCGACACGAAGAACATTGAAAAATATTTTTCTTTTTTTTTTCATTCTTAAAGAGTTTTGTACAGGAATGGAACATTGAACTAGAGTCCGCTGGTACGAAATGTACCTATTTTGACTTTAGTAGCAATAAACAAAAATTGAAATAGCGGTTTTAATACTAGCGGGCTTGATAGCACTGTAGAGCCGTAGTGACTCAAAGTGTTCGCCTCTCAATGAGGTGAACCGGGTTCGAATCCCAGCGATGGCTGGTCGATACGAATTTCACACCCGGCTTGAACCGAGCACAATGCTGACGTAAAATTACCCTTACCGTCAGATTTACTGTGGGAGGTTTCCGTGGTTTTTCCTTTCCATGTTCCTCTCCAAATGCTGGTCAGTTCCATCAAAAAGTCTACCAATAAGGTAAAATTTATCCCAATACTTGATCCTGGAGTTCTCTAGTCTTCTGGACTGGGTTCAAAGTATAAGGTTACGGAATTGAACATCGGTAGTCTTAAATACAAAATTGTGTCAGTTGTTCAACGACGGTTATAAAATAAAATAATATATAACAGCTGTAAATGACGACATTCAGCTGCACTTCAGGTGAATGTTAAATAAAGAATCATTATCTTGCTTATTGCAGTAAATGTCAACATTTATCATGGATTGAACACTGCGATACTCATATTTGCGTCATATACTGTATTTTTCTTTAATAATAATTGTTTTTAAATTCTACTTTCAACGAAAGCTACATGTTGCTATACTGCAAAGAGGTGTTGATAACAAAACTAGATGGTGTAAGAAAAATTTATTAAAAAATAATCTGCGTAATTTTTAATTTTTCAAAAGCAGGATTTGAAATTTTATATTATTACAAAAGAAATTTAAGGACCAGATAAAAAAAAAAGTATTTTGAAAATGAAACAATGCAAACTAGGTTCAAAACCTTGAAAACTTTTAAAAAATATAAATCTTTCACAGTTATATTTGAACAATGGAAAGTCCTGAAACACTGTGGAATTCCCAGAAAATAAACATAATTTTTTTGGCATTTTTTTTTTCGCATTGTTATTCACACGTTCCGCCGTCCAATATAAAAAACACTTACGCCAAATTAAGAAGTGAAAAAAAAATCCCCACGCATTGTAAATAGCGCCAAAGAAGCCAATTTGTAATGCATCCCGATATTCCCATCTCATACTGCTTATGAATACTTTTCTATTTATTTATAAACAGGATGTCATACGCTCTTCATAGACAAAAATACAAGCTTACAGAGACAATGGGGTCCCTGAGAATTCATATCGTCTGCCTCTAAACCACAATTCGCCAAGACAGCCATTCAATTATATGCCAGCAAGGGAACTGAAACAATGCCATTGCCCAATTGTCCGACGGTCCCAAACTTTCAAAAACATTCTCATCTTAAGTCCTGAGACAATATTATCCCGATATTGTGTCTTAGGTTACATCTATACTGCGATGACTCTACGGAAGAAGAAAAGAAGATTCTGATGGAAAGAAGACGCGCAGACGATCGTTTCTCCACCCTTCCCCCTTGCGACATCCACCAACCCACCAGTAGAAAAACCCATTGTCCCTCTTTCCTTGATTTGACAAAAGCCAAAAAAGATAGACCGACCGCCCTTTCGAATCTTTCGCAGAAGACCTTGTGAGAAACAAAGCTTTTTTTTTGGTAGAATAGCTGTACATGTTCCAGCAAGGACAATGGGGGTTTGTGTCCGTGAAATATTCGAAAATTTACGGCAAATGATCCGTATGGTTGCGATTTTTATGTCTGCTTTAATGGAGATGTAGAGGTGCAATTTCAAGGGGCTACACGAATGGTTTGGAATTTCGTCATAGAGTTCCGAACAATTTTTTTTTCTTCTCGATAGCAAACGATAGTTATTTGAAAATAATCGTCTGGCATTAAAAATATTAAAATCAATTAAGTAAGAAATTAATGATGCGAAACAATAAGATGAAAAACAACTGAGAAAATAATTTGAAATAAACAAGCAATGCAAAAAAAATTTAAATGTTTTAAAGATTTAAAATTTTCCGCAGAAGCTCTATATAACTATTCCTCTAATAATATATAATTAATTTAATAGGTAAATTAATTTTTGCGTTTATCGTTGCGTTACATCTTAGTCAGACACAAAAATCGTGAACAACGTTTGCTCAAATATAGCGTCATACAAAACAATAATAATTTTAACAAATATAAGGCTTTTTTATTATCTCTATTATTATAATAACTGAAAAATATTTGAACTATAAGATAGATATAAATAAGACATTATGTTAAGTGACTTAATTTTATATTTCAAAACGCGAAAATTAAAATAAATTTATTAAACAGTTCCAAATGGATAAACAGTCGGAAAATATATCCTATTAATGATAAGGTTTAAATATTGTTCTTTAAGTAACTATATAAACATATTTTATTTCAAATTTTGATTACTGAAAAATAAAACGAATTCTCTCAATAACTTTTAATACATACTTCAACTGAATCGGTTGAACGTTGAACTTTAATATTGGTATCTCGTACAAGGGGGAAATTTAGTTACAAACTTAATAAGGCATTAAATAAAACCATATTTAATTTCAACTTGAATCAATAGTATCATGTAAATGAGTTTAAAAAATGCCATAATATTCTTCAACTTAGCTCCATATTAAGATTGCAACACATTTAAACGATATTAAGGTTGAACAAGCTCCAAAACCTTTTCAAACAACACAAAATTTTTATTGTTAATCGAATTAATATGATCGTGTAATTGAGTTTAAGAAGTTGTTAAGGAGCTAAGTTAATATGCTTCAACTTAGCTCCATATTAAGTTTGCAACAAATTTAAACGATATTAATTGAGTTAATATGATCGTATAATTGAGTTTAAGAAGTTGTAAAGGAGCTAAGTTAATACGCTTCAACTAAGCTCCATATTAAGTTTGCAGAAATTTAAACGATATTAAGGTTGAACAAGCTCTAAAGCCTTTTCAAACAACACAAAATGTTTGTTAATTGAGTTAATATGATCGTATAATTAGAAAGTTGCAAAGAAGATAAGTTAATATGCTTCATCTTAGCTCCATATTGATCGTATAATTAGAAAGTTGCAAAGAAGATAAGTTAATATGCTTCATCTTAGCTCCATATTAAGTTGGCAACAAATTTAAACGATATTAAGGTTGAACTAGCTCCAAAACTTCAAACAGATTTATTATTTTTAGCCAGCAGTAATTTTTTTTAAAAATTTTATTACCATAACTAATATTTTTAAATATTAGTCAATATTTTAAAGGGATGGTCATATTGCTAACAATTAAATTTAAAAAGAAAACAATCTTACTTATAGTACTATCTGTTATCCCATAACGTACCGAAACAAAACAACTATTAACTCATAACCATAATTGCAGTGAACATTAAGAAGAAGACCAGGAAGAGGCCATTGCGTAAAAAACAAAAAATAAATAAAAAAAATAAAGACAATAAAAAAAAAAGATAGAAATTAAACAAAGCAAAAAAAATAAAAAGCTCTTATGAGAATAGTGCGTGTTTTTGGCCTTAAGCCAAGTCAAGCAAAGAGGTTCACATTCACAATTCTCTTCAAAAAAACAGAAAGAGTTGTTAAGAGTGAAAGATTTGAGGAGGGGATGCAGAAAAAAATAAAAAGAAGAAAAATGATGAATTTGAGCAATGGGTGTCATCTGAGCAGGTTGCTCAGCGTTGAACCGGTTACGGCCCGATTTTCGTCATCTTTTTAGACTGATGCTTTCCCTTATATTGTTCACATCGTATTTTACTTTTTTTTTTTTCTGTTTTAACTAATTGTAGGTTTGGTATGAGGTAGCACGTTAACTTGTTTAGTTTTACATATAAATAAAGACAAAAAAAAAGTATACACGAAGAAGAATTATAATTTATGTATCTGTTGCTTCGAATGATTGGTAGATGTCGCAATATCCGTGGAATTTTGGAGGTAAAAAAACGAATAAATAAAAAAAAAAAAACATATGGGCGATGTTATGAAATGTTCCATCCAAAATATCTGTTGAATGTCATTATTTTTCATTTACAACAGCAAATATGAACAATTAATATGCAGGGGTCTGTTTAGAAGAAATTTGGGTCCGTTAACGGACCCTTCACAAAATATCTTTTCATAAAAACGGACCCTTCACAAAATATTTTAACATAAAAACGGACCCTGCACAAAATGATTTGTCTTTTAATCGGATCCTTCGCAAATTTGTTTATCTTCATTATTGTTTTGTTAATTGAATAAACCCTTCCCAGGGCAGAAAACAAGAAAGATGGATGTAAACGAATTAAGTTTTGTCTTCGGCAGACGATTCTTCCATTATTCGTCCGAAATGAATATTCTGCGTATAGGCTAAATACCAAATATTTGAATGTTGCATCTCTAATTTAGAAGCAGCAATTGCTGTTTATTTTTGAAAATTAAATTTTTTTAATTATAATTTTACAGTGCAGAGCATAACCTTTACAATTTAAAAACTCCTTGAAAAAGTTTTTTGCAATAACCGGACCCTGTTTGCACTGATTCATAAAAGCAGGACCCTATTTGAAAGAATGTGAATAATTTTTTCATAATTTCACAAAAACCGGACCTTCCACAAAATGTCTGGACAGGCCCCTGATATGAGTAAACAAAAATAAATTGTCAACTGAAGTAAATAAAATGCAAATTGATATAACACAGCAAAATATAGCATTAAAAATATTCTAAAAAAAATTCCAATTCCACTTAAATAATAATAAGAAACTGAAACATTTTTCAATAGTTTATATTACGTTTTTATATTTAGCAATAAAACTTTTTACTGTTTATTCATATTCAACAGTATTGATGTCATCGCAAAATCCTTCTT